CTTCATACCTCAAATTTTACTTATTTCCTACTTTAATCCTAACCAGGTTAAGTATGTTACACTTAATTTTAAGTTTTCTAATTTTTTTTTAAGCTCTTTATTTCGGTATACAATTACTACCTTTAGGGACATCTTAACCTTCTATGCCCTTAAAATACTCCAAACATTTCAATAACAAGAAATTTTGCCTCAACCAAATTTTTTTTTTAATCTATGCACACAATAATTAAAAATACACAGTTTTGGGCTCAAAATATGATAGTGATAACAGTGGCAGAAGTGGTGGTGGCTGCAAGGATCAGTGATGCCCCAAGCACTGTGCCGCACAGGTACGTTTTGCAGTACAAATGTTAAAATAACAGCTCCTAAAAAGACCGTACTCAAACCCCTTTAGCTGGGAGATAAGTGAAGTTTGCCCCCTATCATGCCCTGCTCCAAGCTGTTAAGTGTCCTTCTATGAACGTGTGAATAAGGTCGATCACACTGCTATTAAAATTCAGACCTGACTGCAGAAACATTTCCTGATTAAAATTTTTAAATACGAAGGCCAGTACCCCTGATTCCGACACTTGTGTAATAAAAGAACTATGCTATTAAAAGAAGAGAGAGAACTATGCATCTGATCCTGTCCCCAAATACTATAGAGTCCATTCCGTGGTGGGCATTCTTTCAGGAAACCTTTATTATCCTACCGTGTGCTAGACCTTGCACAGTGAACACAACAGATCAAAAAAAAATCCCTGCCCTCCTAGTAACAGGAACATCTGCCCATACTCTAAGGCTGCCCAAGTCTCAGTTCCTCCAGACCAAGCGCTGGCCGCACCCCCACACCACAAGGGTCAATCCAGGCGACACTCCACCCGAAAACCAACAAGCCCGCTAGCCTTGCAACCCTGACACACAGCCTCGGCCCCGGCGTTCTTAGCCATTCCGGCCCGGACCACTTGGGCAGGCTGGGAAAGCCCTCCGAGCGGCTACTCCCGCGCCACCCCGGCGGGGAGACAAC